GTGGACTCCAGACATTAGACTTGGTGGATATAAGCGAACTAAGAAAGAGGGTGTTTGCCACTTTCAAGAAGTTGGTGTCTTTGATGAAACAAGAGACAAATCTCTCTTCACACTTTCCAGCAGAAGGGGAGTCTACCTGCGAGGGTTGATGCAGCATCTGGAATCAGAAGCTCAGAGTTCACCTGATCTCTTGCGTTATTTTTTATGCTAAAAGATCCCACACTTGTGCTAATTTGTCCCCAGCCACCACCAGCAAGTAGCTCAGCCTCAAGGAAACCCACCATTCAGCATCCTTGGAGAACCTGTGGATGCAGACCAATCTTAATTTGCAAAGAGGGGCCCATTTGCAGCCACACATTCCACAGAAGCCCGAAAGTGTCCCTTCCCACCTTCCATGTCACGTTTCAGCTGCTACGCTAGACCTTAAAGCCATCTGCCCATCTTCCTAGCTCCAAAGGAGCAGCACGAATTGAATTTGCTAATTCGTCAGAATTGGGAGATTATATATGAAATGTCAGTTGACTTTGATATAGATATCCTAATAGTAACATCTTTCTACTTTTTTTTTTTTTTTGAAGACAGAATAGTAATGACTTCCATTCAAAAATATACCTGCCAAACTGTTAACATCAGGAGGCAGTGTCTCTGGGTCAGGGTTGCTGCAGTTGGCGCTAATTCCTCTGGAGATGCTCTTGTCTCCTTCCTTATCCACATGTATCCCTTGTTCTTTCTGATTCAGAAAAAGAGGCCAAGACACCAGCTGTAACTTTACGGACTGTACCCATTGCTGAGTTTGAAGCTAAGGGGTGTGAAGAGTAGTGTTGATGGGGTCTCTCTACTCTCTCTCTACTCTCTTTCTCTACCACCAAACCTACCTCACGGTTTCTGCCATTCTGAGACCCTGTTTAACTGTTGCTGATTTTGAGAGAAAGATTCTTGAACCATTTGCCCCTCTGTTCTTACAATGGCAAGAAAGTACCTGTCCTTCTCGAGGTGGGGTGGGATTAGACAGGCACGTGAAAGGAGGAGCCCAGGAGAATGGGGGTGGGGGAGAGCAACTGTGATTTTCACTTTGGTACTTAAGACTATGTAGTAAAGTCCCACCTAAAATTCTTAGATAATACGAAGAACTACACCAGATAAAGGGGGAAATGTCATCAGATAGTACAAAGAGCTGACGGCAGCTGCTAATAAAACATTCTTCCACGGTGTTAGGAAAACTGACCGTGGTTATGTCAGACAAATGTCCAAAAACCAAAACAAACACTTTATTTCAGAAGCCACTAAATGGATAGCAGTTAGATTTTAAACAAGGACTTTTAAAATAATATTCTATGGCTAAAATGGAATCCCCGTATAGTGCAAAGACAATCACTAGTTACCCCTGGTTCTCTCCTTCAGAAGTCTCAAAATGCCTACAGCAATCCCTCAGTATCTATTTTCCCGATTTTATGAATTCTCGGAGCTCTTCCCACAGCATCTGATTATTGGTCTTATGAACAGGACAAAAATTGTCAAGAAAGCTATGTATATGGAATAACCGCATTGCAACAGTCATGTGTAGTGAATTACCACATCGCCCATCTTTTCCTGATGTTCTGTTCATTTTGGAAACTCTTGTCTGTTTGTGTGTAACTGATTTGCTATGGTATATGTTTGTTTTTTAACTTTCAGCTGAGGTTTTGCTGAGGACTTTTACAAGTCCCTGATTCCATAATTTCATTGAAGGAAATCAAATTCCACTTCCGTCATATCTTTTCAGGAACTAACATCCTGTTAGAGTTGAACTTCTGCCTATTACAGCTATAATATGGAAGAGGCACCAGAATCCTCTCCTTCCTTCTCTTCCTTCCTTCCTTCCTTCCTTGTCCTTCTACCTTGTCTTCTTCCTTCCTTGCTTCCTTCCTTGTCTTTCTTCCAGCCCTCCTTCCTTCCCTTGCCTTTTCTGTGTCTGTAAATGTGCCCAGAAGCTGCCTTTCTGTAGAACCATGTTTCCTAAGCACTAGAGTACAGCTCTAGCATCCACAGTCCTCAGGGTAAATAAGTGTGAACACACTACCACTTCTCTCAGGACCACTGTCTTGTTTTTATTTAGCAGAATAAACTTTGGCATTTGAGTAGCGCTTTGGAGCATTAGAGACCTTCTGAGTTGTTCAGGAAGTATTGTGATCTGTCTGAAGAAAGGGAATTAAACAATTATCTCTTCCTGGTAATTCTGAGTCGCAAAGTTGTTTGGACACTAAGTCTTCATTCACTTCATTCAAAGACAAGAAGTTCTACCCCATTCCTTTCTCCCTGTCACTAAGACCAGGGTCTATCTCTGTTGTGGAATATGACTTAAAGATGTGTTACACTCATTGTTGCTGTGGAGCATTTGTTTAATGATGCAAAAATGTGTTGCATTCTTTTATGTTGCATTTGTTTAACTCTGTAAAGCTGTGTTACTTTGCCTGCCTAAAACACCTAATTGTTCTCATAAAGAGCTGAACAGCCAATAGCTAGGCAGGAGAGAGAACTAGGTGGGGTTGGTGAGTAAAGAGACTAAATAGGAGAAGAAATCTAGGGAAGAGGGAGTAGCAAGAAAAGAGGAGGCCAGGAGCCAGCCACACAGTCATCCATGGAGTAAGAAGGAGAGAAAGATAAAATGTTAAAAAGGCAGGCTAGAAATAAGTCAAGTTAAGACCCAGCATTTATAAGTAAAAATAAGTCTCTGTGTATTTATTTGGGAGCTGGGTGGTAGGCCCCCAACGAGTTAAAAAAGAAACCTACATATCTTTCTATTCCAGAGCTCATATTTGACATACAGAGTATACTTTGCAAATATCCTGCATGTTCTAATTTAGATTGTGGGAAGAGAAAAAAAATTAAAGTAATAAAGTCAACATTTAAGTCTTGCAAAAAATAGCTAATAGGACATCATACCAATGCCTTTCCAAACTAAGCCAGTTTATTGTGACCAGCGTAACAAAACACACATACGTACCCCAGCATGTATGCTGAGGTCAGTTAGTGTGCTTGTATGACAAAAATGCCATAAGAAAATTTGCTGCGTGCCTTTGCTAAGCAGCTGTCCAGCGCACTGTTTCAGCAGGACTGTCAGACTAAGGGATCCTACTGCAGAAATGTATGATTCACATAGCTTCAGAACCCAGGCATACGTCCACGTGTTTCTCTGCCTGTGTAAACCACCCACCTATTCACAATGAAAAGAATACTTCCCCCCCCCCCCCCGCTAAGTAATTCAATAGGTGATTTCAGTGCTGGCCTCCATCTTGTCTCTCTCTCCCATCCTTTTGTGTTCTAGAAACAGGTAACTATACTGCCAGGCAACTATAATTCATATTTTCCATTTACGTTTTTTTTATATATATTTCCTAGAGTGTATCAAAGCAAAGTCATAGGCTAAGAGGCACAAGTAACTCAGGCTTGCCCGGTGTAATAACTGAACGCAGAGCTAGCTCTCAACTCAAACCTGCCTGGCGTAGGAGGTGGCCCAGAGAAAGTCAGCAGATTCCCGTTATTAGATCCTATGACATGAAGCATCCTTATCCTTCTGTGTAAAGCCACTGTTGGATGAAGGCTGCTAGAACGGTCCAACCCTGACCTCAGAGGGCCCTGGGGTTCATCCTGTGCTCAGCATTTTAACTCAGCTACACCATGTGACCATCACAGGCCTGTCTGAATGGCTCATCTCTTACCAACATAGCCAACAGGACTTGGCCAAGTTGGTAGAAATCATATCCCTGTGTGTGTTTAAGAGTGGGAGCAAGCAGCATGGTCTCTCCTCTGTAGAGCAGAACCTCGAGGAGAAACGGATGATGTTAACAAAGGCAAAGCTGCCCTGGCAGAAATTATGAGGTCCCCCCACCTTTAGATAGTGTACATCTAGAGATAGTTTTGAAAAATTGCTTTTAGAATGTAGACATTTGGGGCTAGCTCAGTAGTTATAAATAGGTACTGCTCTTGCAGAGGACCCTAGTTTCATCTCCAGCCTCGTGTCAGGCAGTTCACAACCGCCCGGAACTCCAGCTCCAGAGAATCTGGCCCCTTAGGTATCAGAATCTGAATTCCTTAGGTATGTGATTCCACATGTACATGCACACATACACACACACACACACACACACACACACACACACGGAGGAGGGAGAGAGAGAATTAAAAATAAATAAAAGTTACAATTAAATAGTAATCTAAAGACTCTGGAACAAAGAAATAATTTTTGAAGTTTGTGGTAATGTGAATTCATGGAGCACCCAAATTTATATTTGGGCTTGCGGTTCACAAAAAGCCCCTGATTTTCTTTTCATCAAAGAAGCTCCTAACCACAAAACAACAAATCTTCCATGTATAGTGAGGTAGTGAACTCTAATGTGATAACTGAGGTCCCAGAGAGAGCTCAGTTTGCGCCTGCAAAGGTCCTAAGAATGGACAAGTGGCAACTCGGAGGTTTTAAGCACACCTGGCATCATGAAGGTTCTAGGCATGCAGCTGGCCCTGTAAAGGCTGCTAGCTCCTCCTTCCTGGAGACCCCCTTCATTCCTTCCTTACAACGCCTCTTCCATCTCTAGCTGTGGAGGCCCAGAGTTGGTTTGCGGCTAGTCCAAGTGTAGCGGTTGAGAAAGCATGGCTATAAAATGAACAGGGCCCCTCCGTTTCCTACTTCACTCCTTTCTCCCTGTCGCTAAGACCAGGGTGTCTCTCTCCACCCCAGGGCTCATGTTTAACATACAGAGTAAACTTTGCAAATGTCCTGCATGTTCTAATTTGGATGATGGGAGGAGAAAACAACTCCTCTGAGCACCAACTCCATGTCCTTTAACTCCAGCGGTCCCCGGGCGTCAATCCCTGCCCACCCCGCCCTTCGCTAGCCAGATCCTTTGCTAGCTCCAGTGTTTGCATTAATCAGCTGCATAGGCTCAGAGACTGTGTGTTTTGGTGTTGTTTGTGTGTGCAATCTCGTGCTGCTTCCTGAACGCATGTGTCCCTTCCCTTCACAGCCTACTCGACACCCAGCACCTCCCCCGCAAACCGATTCGTCAGTGTTGGACCACGGGATCCAAGCTTTGTAAATATCCCTCAACAGACACAGGTGGGCCGCTCTCATCTTTTCCGTATGTGGTGCAGCGTGTTTTATTGATCAGGTGCAGTTTAATGTGTCTTGGGGCACACCAGGCCACATGCCTGAGCCCCTCTTCAGTTCCTCTCCTCCTGACTCCATCTCTCCCAGCCCTGTCGCCATGTTTTCTCCTTGTTCTCAGGAATCATAGACAATGTTCCTGGGATCTTTGCTTATGGTATTGGGGTAGGAGAGGGGGGCTTCTGGGCCAGACTGCTTTTGCCATGGCAAGTTAAGGTTGCTAGGCTAGACTGTGTGCATTCCCTCCTTGAGGCAGCCATGGCTCTCTAGCTGTAAGCAGACAGACATGTGCCCCATGGAACCTGGTTTCCATGGTATCGAAGCATATGTGGGGAGGGAGACCAGCCACTCCTCTCATTTTATGGCCCCGGGAAACTGGCAAACTTTCTAAAAGAAAAGGGGTGGGTGAGGACAAAGGGTTTCTAAGCTCTTTATTAAGTTACTGATGTTGGTCCCAAGGAGGTGATTGGTGGCCACTGGGGAGGCAAGGTGCTGAGAGTGGGAGGGGCTAAGCCGAAAGTCATGTGGAGGTGGCTGATTGACAGAAGAGCTCAGAATCCCCAGAGCTGACCGAGCACAAGAGAAAGTTGTGTTTGGATCTGTGTAGGCTAAGAGGAGCTCTTTCAAAACAGGCTTGCAGTAGCTGCTGTGAGCTGAGAAGCAACAAACCTCTGGGTCCCAAGGAGTATGTGTAGAGGTTTAAAAAAAAAAAACAAAAAAAAAAACAGAATCAGGTTCAAGCTTGTAGAATAAACGACTCCTCCATTTCCTAACTAGAATATGGCCATGTATTTCCTAATTGACTCTACGAAATTATTTTTGCCCACGAGGTTCCTAGCATGGCTTGACATTTTCTCCGTGTGCTTCTGTGCTTATGCTCAGCTGTGTGGCGTCAGCTGCCTGGTTTATAAGTACAGTCAGGTGCTTCCTGAGTCCGCCGCCTTCCTACAGGGCTCTGCTTCACTGTGCTTATCCACAGTGCTGCTTCTCCTTCCTTCCTGCCCTGGAGCAGCACCCCAGAAAGTCCAGCACTAAGCCAAAAAGGGAGGGCCTGAGAAGAGGGACCCCTCTCCCCTTGAATCTCCCACTTCTGCTGTTTCTTCTAAATCTGGCTTGCACATGGTGTCTGAGATTAAAACCCTACTCAGTGCCTCTCATAAATCCCCCCACTTATTTGCTTACTTTCTCATGCCTTCAAATATTCAGATGCTTTACTGGTGGTTTGAAGTTGTACCATAGCCTGAGAATATCTGTCTTAGAAGATGCTTTAGCTTTGTGCTTTGAACTTCCATGTTCTGGCACAGCGAAGGGTAAGCCAGAGGACCTCCCGTAGTTCTGTTGGATGGTTGTTTCGGGTTTTTTGTTTCAAAGCTTGGGTATGCTCAAATTGATTCGTTGAGAACCTGAAAACTGCAACTTTGAAGTATCTTGTTTGGTATTTTGCATGATGTTTTATACAAACTAATTCACATAATCTAAACTGTATGTGTCTTTTTCATTTATCTCTCTATAATGAAAATGTGTTTTCCCAGTATGACTTTGTTTCGTAAGTGCCTTGTTTAGCTCAAACACTGAGTCTTCATGATGTTGCTCACAAAACTTCAATTCTTAACAATCCAGATTTTGCACGCATCTGGATGGATGATGTCATATAGGTCCAGTATTGGCATCTAGAACTGAATTCTTTTTGTTTCCCACTAAATATTTGGCATTGTGGTGACAATAGCTTAAATGTTCTTACCACGGTGACACCTGTCACATTTGGCTTGAAGAAAGCCATTCCTAACCATCTCATGAGAAGTCGTAGGGATGGAGTTGTCTTTTTCCACCCTCTCTATGTACCTATCTAGCCTTATGCCTTAAAAATAAAATTGGCATGCCCCAAATATTACTATTTTATGATATATATGTTAACATTTTAAGAATAAACTGTTCAAAATAAGTATTAGATGTAGATGGCAAGTAACAGTAGACCTTAAATACAGCTTCCTTGTAAGAAGTCATTAGTTAAAGTTCTTTTCTTACAAGGTGTGTGTGTGTGTGTGTGTGTGTGTGTGTGTATGTTTGTATCTTCAGTTTTTATTGCTGTGAAGAGACACCATGACTACATCGACTCTTATAAAGGAAAACATTTAATTGGGGCTGGTTTACAATTTCAGAGATTTTGATCTATTGTCTTCATAGCGGGACATGCAGGCAGACATGGTGCTGGAGAAGGAGCTAAGAGTTCAACATCCTGATCCGCAGGCAACAAAAGGAGTGTGCCTTACTGGCTGTAGCTTCCGCATAAAAAACCTCAAAGCCCAGTCCCACAGTGACACACTTCCTCCAACAAAGCCACACCTCTAAATAATGCCACTCCCTATGGGTCAAGCAAACATGGGGGGGGGCATACCTAGTCAAACCACCACTGTGTGTGTGTGTGTGTGTGTGTGTGTGTGTGTGCGCGCGCGCGTTCATGCTGTACAGGGGTTTACCTCATAGATGCTAGGCTCTACCACTGATCCCAAGCCTTGCTTTTACCTTTCAAAAACTTTTAAGACAGGTTCTTACTAAATTGCCCAGGATGACCTTGAACTCACTCAGTAGTCCAGAAAGGCCACGTTCTTCTGCCTCAGTCTCCCAAGTACCTGTTCTAATAAACCTGTACCACCAGTGTTGGCGTACAAGGTTTTTAACAATATAATTTGAACGCCCACAGATTCCTCACTTCCTAAGCAAGCTTGTGGTTGTCGTCAGATAGCTTTGCTGTAAGGCCCAAAAATTGGTATTAGTTAAAATTAGGAAAGCTTTCCCAGGGGATCAGAAGTTTGCTCTCTGACGCTCCACCAATAAAGTCACTCAGACAGATGTTTGCCTTGTCTCTGCCTCTTCATGAGCGAAAGTCGGAGTCATCCAGACAGATTTGTAAATGCAAAAGAGTCAGGAACAGGAACCCTTGCCTATAACCCAGCACTTGGGAGGCAGAGACAGGAAGACTGAAAGTTCTAGACCAGCCTGGGATGGATGATGAGACCCTGTCTGAGAACAAGACAGAAGAATCCAGCACTGAGTTCATGAACAGATGTGAGATGAAATGGTCGTCCTTTCCCCCGAACCCAGTTCCTGGTGGAAATCTCTTGGCTTTCCTATGCCATCCTAGAGAGCATGGTTCTCCCATTTGTCTGCTTATTTCCCTATACCTTCTAATGCAGACGTTTTTCTGGTGAGTTTGGAAGTTTCATAATTGCTTTGAAAACATCTATCCTAAAATATGGTTTACACATGCAATGTAAGAGTTGTCATTGTTTAAAATGAAGGGCATCCTGATACTTGCCACAGTATGGATGAATCTAGATAACATCATACTAAGGTGCATAAACTTATCACCAAAAGATAAAAATCTATTTTTCGATGGTGATTTTATCTTATTACAGTCATGATGCATGTTAATTGTGGGAAATACAGACGAGAGAAATAATAAAAATCACTAGTAGTCCTACTGTTAATGTTTCTATATAAATCTACTCTGGTTGCTTCTACACATTCAAGTATATTGCAAAAATAAGGTCATATTACATCCACTGTTTAGTAACCTGCTGTTTCTTCTGCGTAACAATGTATTATGGCCTTCTTTTCATGTAAATTGGAAAAATGGAATATTGGCTTTTATTACACCTATTCATCATCTGCAATGATTGTTGGGGAGCGATGGCATGGATAATTGAAAGCTGTTGTTCCCCCTCTTTCCCCGCTAGTCTACTTTTACTCCAGAGAATCCTCCATCATTGAGGGATAAATGTACCCCGCTTACACTTGTGGAGCCCACTTCCATTCATACTCTGGCTTCTGGCTCTGGCTAGATGCTCTGCCAAGTGATCTGTCCTCTTCTTCCTCCTGGCTCTTCTGTTTGCTTCCTCTGCTCCTGTTGTCTGGCCCACACCTTCCTCCTGCCTACATTGTAGCTGCACTCACCAGGAGACATGGCCAGCTCCCTGTGGACTATGGAAAGCCTACCTGCTCTGAGAACTTAAATCTCACCTCCTCCTGCGGCACATCTTATTCAGTGCCTGTCCCCATGGTGGTTGGTACAAACTCATGGAGAATGCCTGAGTATTTACTCTCTTTGTACACCGTCGATGTGCCGCATTCAGCCCTTGATGATACAGACCTTGCCACTCTTCCGATAGAAAGCTGGGGGCCATTGTAGCTGTACCCCCTGATCTAATCTGGTCTCTAAAAACAAAAACTATTATGAACAGGCATTTACTTAGAGCAAAAAAATTCACTATTTATTAACAATTAGTTAATGAATAGATATATGGGTTCTCACAGACTGAACAGAGAGCTTGTCTTGATTCAGGCTCAATTCAAATGTTAAAATAAAAATTGTTTAACCTACAGAACTCTGATGAGGATGAATTTTTTACAATGAAAAATTCATGTTAACAGTATTAAAAACAAGCATTTTTATCTCTACCACCAGAGCTGTTACCATTCTGCATCAACAGAGCCATGCCATCTGAAATGCTACATAACACCCTAGGAGACTGCCTCAGCTTGGTACAGTTCCAATTTGCTGAAACTTCTGCTAAATAAGTCTCTGCTGCCTCACCCCGTACACTGCCTACAGAGTGACCACTTTGGCCTCGAGTTCACAATGAATGCATCATCCAGAAAAGTTTCCACAGGGTGAAGCATGGCAGTGACACCCACTACCTTACCTGTTGCCCACAGCACCCACTGTGCCACCTTAAATAGGCATGCCCACGACACCCACTGTGCCACCTTAAATAGACATGCCCACGAAACCCACCCTGCCACCTTTGATAGGTGTGCCCGCGGCACCCACTCTGCCACCTTGGGTGCTATCCACAGAGAAAACGGAGCATAGAGAAGTGAAGGGTTTTCAATCCGTGCCCAATCTTGGTGTCATGTTCCTGAGGCCTGGCTGAAGTCCTAACCACGACTTA